GGGGGGGGGAGGGGGGAGGAGTTGTTCGGTTTACCGCAGGACACCCTCTTGTAGACTTTCTTTTCATTCACCATGGACATATAATAAATGGACTGACTCCATCGATAGAAAATCCCTCATCAAAGGCTTGAACGCAACTGATCAGACTTCATGCTTAGAACATTCAAATAAAATATTTGGTCAATTCTTATGCCGAAAATATTTGTTTGTCTTATTTTATGGGTTCAGAGTTCTCAGTTTTAAGGCCCGTTTACACTAGAAAATTTATCGCGTGACTTGAGCGGCGATTTATCGGCGATTTTATCGCAACCCAAATTCGCGCGTGTAAACGGCCGGCGAATTTATGGCGATTTCACGGCGATTTTTCTGCAATCCTGGCGCGATGTCTGACTTCAAACATGGCCAAAAGCGTCGAGGCAGCTTGTGTTGGTCTTGCTATTGCTCTTGTAAATAGACGGAGGAGAAGGAGAAAGGAAAGGACAATATGGGTAAAGCCAATTGGCCTCTGGAAATATTACCGTTCCATGATCTTCCATTAAAGTGTTACCTCATATGGGCCATGCAGCTATTTTCTTTGGCAGCTGTTATGCTATATAAAATCATCAAGGCTTGTCCATGACTTTTCCGGCAATCTGTTCGAATTCACTCAAGACTAAACTAACGGAAGTTATCTTCAAAATAACCTTTGATAAGTGTCTATTGATGCTTCGCCGATCGAATTTTCCGTAAAGGAGAATGAGAGCACGTTCAATGCTCTATGGAACATCCATTATTGTTAGCCTTGGGGTTTGGAGGGAAGGAGAGGGCGGGGGGCAGAAGATTGATTTTTGTTTCAATTCAACATTATCAAGATTAACTGATACCACTATCTTTCTTAATTGATCCCCCAATATCTTTTACTTTTTTCCTTCTTGCTGAATGTTGATTGTCAGTGATCCCCCCTTTAATAGCCCGCTGTCAATGTTTACCTTATCATATCCCACTTTAGTTGTCTAATAACCGCCTAATTCCTCCGTCCCTCGCCCCCAGGTGGTAAATAATGACCGTGTTCTCTTATC